CTCTCTCTCTCTCTCTCTCTCTCTCTCTCTCTCTCTCTCTCTCTCTCCATATATACATATCAACAAAAAAGTCTCCTCAGATTTTTTTTTAAAGTATGTCTGGAAGTAATTGCATCAACTATTTCCCAAATAAACACAATTACTTGTTTAGCAGTGTGTTAGATTGTTAGTTGGAAATGTCTTATATATCATGGTTGTTTCCCCAGAGTCTGTGTGACAGACATAAGGTTTGGAGAGAGGGAGAAAATATTTACATTTTCATAGTTTCTACTGTATTTTTAGCCTGGCCATATAAAAGCTGTGCTTTAAGCAAATTCCCAGGCATATCATGAAGGATTAAAGATTCACCTATCCTAGAAAATGTGTCAGTGATTTCGTAGTTTGTATTTAAAAAGTCTGGGAGCTATTGGTGAAAACACTGGCAAAGAGGAGAGGCACGTGAAATAGCAAGAACCACCCATACTGGTTTTCTCTGTATTTAATATACTAATGCAGATTCATGCTATGTATATTCCCGGATTTATTTAAGCTACACTTTGCAACTCTGCTCAATTTGAAACAATTTGAAATATTTGAAACAGGTACTGTCACTCCTCATTCTCCTTTAATGACACCAAAAGGAGTCACCAAAAGTCAAGACAAATAGTGCCCAGTCTGACACCATCCCACCTGTGAGTAGGTAGAAAAGAACACAGGAACTACGGTTATTTTGGTCCTACCTCTCTGAACACTAATTACAGGTTTGTATCCTTTCTCCCCCCATCCCCATTTCCTTTCTTCATTATCTGTTTGCCAAAAGGGAAACAGTAAATTAAAATGAGATAAGTTGGGAACAGATGGCCGTGTTGGACACAGTCACCTTAAAGAACTTATTTAATGCCGGTTTGTTTGATTTTCATAAGGCAGAATACACAAAGGTCACTTCAGCTTTTTGTGATGGCTATGATTTCAAGTCCATGGAAAATTATAAATTGGAGTTTAGGAATTAGAGTTGGTTTATTTAAATACAAGGGTGTGAGATTACATTGAAAAAGCTAGAAAAAAACACATGAAATGTAACATTTTACATCTTAAAATCTTAAAGCATTTGACCCCTCATCAGCAGGAGTCCACTAATTGTGGAGAACAATGTGACAAGAATCACCATCTAGTGTCATAAATACTGCTTTGGTGAGCCAGAAACATTGAATTCAAAGAGAGATAAATGGTAGGAGATGTATCAACGTAAACAAACAGAAGAAGAATGTCTAGGAAGCAAACCTAGAAAAGCTTTGAGAAGATGTGGATCCCAGCATTTGATAAGAATGTTGGGATTTCTGTCACAGGACATTTGAGCGATACCTGTATGTAACTGATATCATGTTTTCAGTTTACAGGATAGCTCAGGGTTGTGTAGAGAAACCCAGTAGTGTAGCCAAGAAATCATTCCCTCAGAGGCTAGAATCAGAAGGAGAAACAAAGGGCAATGGGCAGTTAATCATCTTTCAGAATGCACACACAAGAACATGCAGTGGGCAAGATTAGGTGAAAACCATAGAATTTTACTGAGTATCCTAACTAAAGTCACCTGTGGTGGCTCAAGGATTTAGGTGATATGTTCCCCTGTGTCTCTTCTTTTGCCACATTTGAGAAGATAATTGTAGTAATAGCAATTGTCCAGGAAGGAACATGCTCAATCAAAACTGCGTTAAACAATCTTATGATAGGCACCTATGTACAGTCAAGTAGTGACAACAGCATCATAGACATAGCTTTGACTTCAGTCTTTAATCCACAATATTTGTTTATGAGAATTATTCCACATTCTTATTACTTTTTCTGGTATTTGATAACTATATTTACTATTTTCTACTTATCAATAACACTGAGAACAAGCCTAGAACCCTTTGTAGAGAAGAGCTATTGCCTCTGTAAAGAATATACTACATCCTGCCCCTATGTATTGTAAGTGTGGCTGGTGTGCCACATAGGCATAGTAGGTGCCAGAGAAGAGAAACATCATGTCTACACTCAGTGTTCTAACCTATGAACATCTGAATCCCCAGTAACCTAACATCCACTGGATAAAAGCAAGCCTGAGATGACCACCAGTCCAGCACCACGCAGGCCTTGTTCCCTGCAGGCCCCAACAGCTCCCAGGACTGGTAGCAAGCTAGAGACTAGAAGAATTAGTCCTGGGACTGAGGACACTGGATGGGAATAATCCTGGAACACACAATTTATTGTAATAAACATTTACAAGCAAAGAAATGAAGAAAAAAGTGGGACACACTATGGCACACACTACACGTCCACAACAAATTTTTTCTCCGTTGGCCGGGGGGAGGTTGCAAGGGTGTAGGTTGGGTACTAAGAGAGGGCAAGATGAGTGGGATTGGGGTACATGGTGTGAAATGCACAAAAAAATCAATAAAAAAGTTAAAAAAAAAAACAAAGAGAAAAAATTTGCCAACCCCTCCCTCCAAAAAAAAAAATGCTTGGGATTGGGGTTATGGTTCAAGGGGCTAAGAAATTAGATCAGGAACTCAAGACAGGAACCTGGAGGCAGGACCTGAAACAGAGGCCATGGAGGAGCACCGTTTATTGACTCATTCCTCCTAGGTTGCTCAACATTTCTGGGGTGTACACAGGACCACCTTCCCACGGCTGTCACTGCCAGAAATGAGCTAGGCAATCAATCCCACAACAATCACCAATCAATAAAGTTCTGAACAGGTTTGCCCCCACTCCAATCTGGTAGGGGTATTTTCTGTCCTTGTTCATGATGTAGATAGCTCACACTCTATTATTAGGGATATATGCTTTTATGTCCCCAATAATATGCATATGATTTATATGCCTTTTTGGTTCATTTATCCTTTAATCTCTAGGAAATCACACACACAAAAAAAGATCCTATTTCTTTCAGGTAGTTGTCCTGAGATGCATTTTGTATTATTTTAATATATTCACATCAGCTATCAATTCTTATCAATTGTATCGTGTAGATTTTCTTATCCTTACACTTTAACCTGTTGACATCACATTTTTACAATAAACAAATTCTGTATAAACAACATATCATTGAGACTTGGTTTTCTTATTTATTTTAAACCAGTAGCACCATCTCTACTTTTAAATCTTAGTATTAAGCCTATTTTCCTTAATAGCATTATTAACACTAAGCATATAATTACTCAGATTTGCTTTAGACTAGCAATTGCAAAGGTTAATTCTGATGACATCCTTCTTATACTTAGTGTTTGTACTTTATGAAAAATTATAGCTTTGTCATCCTCCTCTTGCTTGTTTTGTTACTAGAAACCTATAATTTAAGAGTTTTACATCTACATATGTCATAGGCTTTACAACCCACATACATAATCCATACATCCTTCCTTAATGATGGTTTTAGATTCTTCAGTTTTACCTGCAGTTGACTGAGCTCTAATAATCGTAAGATGAAAACATGAAAATGTGTCTATTGATTGAGGTTTTGAATCAACTTCATGTAAATTGATGGGATTGTTTACAAGGATCTGGGGGGACATGGTATTCCCAAATGACCTAGCTTGTGTTGACTTGATAGAAAACTAACCAGCGCCGGGCAGTGGTGGCGCACGCCTTTAATCCCAGCACTTGGGAGGCAGAGGCAGGTGGATTTCTGAGTTCGAGGCCAGCCTGGTCTACAGAGTGAGTTCCAGGACAGCCAGGACTACACAGAGAGACCCTGTCTCGAAAAACCAAAAAAAAAAAAAAAAAAAAAAAAAAGAAAACTACCCAGCACAATAGGTTTTTTTCCTAGATTCTTCATATGTTCATCATCATTTAATTTAAATACTTCAACACACACATGGGCATGTGCATACAGGAACACACACACATACACACACACACACACACACACACACACACACATATTCCAGTTTAAAATCCAGTCTTTGAGCCTAACTTTTGAGTCATCTTAAGCATTCTTTCTGTTGTCTACTGTTGCTGTTGACTGTGGGTCCAGTTTTCCTTTATTCATTTCACACCTATAGTACTTTAGCTAACATCCACACACTGTCAATTAGATACGACACAAATATGGGCTATACAATTCTTTTGTAGGTTGGTGTTTTCCTGGGAGAATGTAAACAAATGCCCATTCACTCCATACAGCATACTGGTTAGAAACTCAACCAACAGTTCTACCCAGGTCTCGCTTAGTGAACCAGTGAATTTATTTCAGCCACTTTCTATAGTGTTGTTGGAGGCTTTCTTTCAGAAGTATGGGTCACTCAAAGGCAACTGCCTCACAAATAGCCTCTTCCAACATTGGTGGTAACATATGAAGTCTGCATCCTCTAGTTCTCTGCACAGCTTTGAAGCTGTTCTCAGTCTGACTCTCATCTCAGCAACTGAGTACTCATTGCATCTTTCAAGACCTTGAGGAGGAGCCTTAAGAGTCTTGTACCTTCAGAGCTTCTTGACATTTACAAGTTTTGGTAACTTCCCAAGAACTGTGCACCTCTTTCTCCTTCTAGGAGAGAACAGTTAAATTATCTCGGACTTGTGTGTTTTCATTCTATAATTTTTTAGACAGGAACTTACTTTGGGCTTCATCTTAGGATGAATGTTTAGTCCTGAGGATATTATCATTATTTCCATGTCATAGTCCTTCTGAGGTTTCAATTAAGTATCCTCATTAGAAAGATTTAAATGTCAATTCTGTCAACATTATGGTATGCAGGAAATCTTCACAGCTTAGCATTTTAGAGTGCAAACTGATTTGCTCCTGTGTGTTCATTAGACATTCTCCTGTGCATGCAGGGTTTGATTTATCCATGAATGTGAGGGAAATTTTATGGAGCTTTTGGGGCTTGTCTTTTTTAAAGAGACAGTCCTCTTAATTTTTACTTGTCTGGGAGTCTTGGGCATTGAATTTGCCTGGACGGGGAAGTAGGAGTGGGTGGGTTAGTGAATAGAGGGAAGGGGGATGGGATAGGAGGGTTTCAGAGGGGAAACCAGGAAAGGGGATAGCATTTGAAATGTAAATAAAGAAAATATCTAATAAAAAATAAAATGGAAATTAAAAAGTAAAATAAAAGTTTTAAATTGTTACAACTATGGGTTTCTGCTTTAGTTTTATTCATTACATAAAAAATCACTTAATTTTTAAATGGTAGATATGAGTGTTCATATTGGGTTCATCTAATTTACAATTAGTGCAAGGTGCCAAAACAGTACTGAACATGTAAGTAACTGCAGTCATCTGAGAATGAGTCTTAGTCCAAAGCTGACTTATTTCAAAGAGCAGAATACAGAATTAAAAGGAAAACCGGGTATCTAAAACAACCCTTAATAAGAAAATAACTTCTGAAGTTATTGTCATCCCATACGTCAAGCTGTGTTACCGAGCTTCCATAATAAACAGCATGGTACTGTCACTAAAACAGATATATTGATCAATGAAATCAAATCGAAAACCCTTGCATAATTCCACCACCTACACAAAACATTATTTTTCTTTTTTTATTTGATATTTTATTTATTTACATTTCAGATGTTATCCCCTTTCCACACTCCACCCCATTAGTTCCCTATCCCATCCCTCTTCTTCCTTTTTTTTTTTTTTTGCTTTTATATCGTTTAAATTACATGAAAGTAATAAGGTCAGTTCTAGGTTGAGGAACTACATTTTTTTTGTTTTGTTTTTGTTTGTGTTTTGGTGAGTTTTGTTGCTGTTGCTGTTGCTTGTTTTGATGAAGAAGTCAAAAATAAATACTGAAGAAAAGACAGTATCTTCAACCAATGTTTCTGGTCAAACAGGATAGCAGTGTATATAAGTATTAAAAATAGGCCCTGGTCTATCTATTAGCACAATCCTCAATTCTAAATGCATCAAAGAACTCAGCATAAGACCAGATACTCTAAATCCAATAGAAGAGAAAGTAGGGAAATAGGCTAGAATTTACAGGTACAGGGAAGAACTTTCTGAGCAAGACATTGAAAGCATAGGTCTTAAGATAAACTATTAAAAATTGGAATTTCATGAAGCTCAAAAGCTTATATATGGTAAAGGACATTATCATTTGGACAAACCTTCAACCTAATAATCTCGAGGAATCTTTATCAATTACACATCTGATATCAGGTTAGTATCTAGAATAAATAGAGAATTAAAAATACTACTGAACGGGCTGGAGAGAGATGGCTCATCAGTTAAGAGCACCGACTACTCTTCCAGAGGTCTTGAGTACAATTCCCAGCAACTACATGGTGGCACACAACCATCTGTAATGGGATCTGGTGCCCTCTTCTGGTGTGTATGAAGAGAGCAGTGGTGGTGTAGTCTTACTCATAAAATCAATAAATAAATATTAAAAAAAACTACCTGACATCAAGAAAATAAACAACCCAATTAAAAATTGGATACATAGAGTCCATAAAGATGAAACAAAAAAGGCTGAGAAAAACTTTTTAAAATGTTCAAATTCTTACTAATCAGGCAAAGGCAAATTATTACTTTCAGATTTCAATTTACCATAGTCAGAGTGGCAAGTTCAATAAAACAAATGACAAAACATACTGACAAGAATGTGGAATGTAGAGGAACTTTAATTTAGCAACATGACTACTCTGGCAAAGGATCATATCCAAAAACTTAGGTCTGTGTGATCTAGCTGGAATACAGACAATTAGTACATACTTTTATTCACTCTGGCTAGAATACAGATACCCCTTTAGCATAAATCTCTAATCTCAAACAAGATAAAATTAGTTTGTAGAAGGAGCCAGCCATGTTTGAAAGTTACATCTAATTGAGGGGCAAACAATATGACAAATCAGAGAAAGTTTTGACAGAAGGAGTCAAAGATAAGATATGCCCATGTCTCATGAAAACAGACAGAAAAGTGAAGCAACTTAAGAAGCAGAAAGAGAGAGAAAAGAGGAAGCAGTTTTACTAGGACAATTTTACAGAAACATAGCTGAAGACAGAATGAGCCAGAGAGTAAAATGGGGGCAGAAGGTTAGAAAAAAATTGCCAGAGTTAGTTTGAAGTCAAGCAGAGCAATTCAGTGAGAAACTGAGAGAA